CAAATTCTAAATTCAAATTCAAAATTCAAATTTCAAAATTCAAATTCAAAATTCAAATTTCAAATTTCAAATTTCAAATTTCAAATTTCAAATTTCAAATTTCAAATTCAAAATTCGAATTTCAAAATTCAAAATTCCAATTTCAAATTTCAAATTCAAAATTTAAACATTTGATAATTAATTTAACTAATTAAATTAATTAGTAATGTCTTGGACTATCCAAGCCCATTACTTAGATCCATGCGCCCTCCACCCTATCTGTGGAGTTCCAAACTACTTATTGGGCTAATAACAATTGTTAGGCCCAATACCATTAATGCTAGAGCATCTAGACAATTAGGTGTTAGTGTGTGACCCATTAGGTCCAACATAGCCACTGACATAAATGGGCTTGGGCCGAATAAGCCCACAACCCATCTAATGACAACACAGAGCACTAACAATGCTTTGTTGCCCCAGAACTAGTTAGATTAGTGACTTGATCATCCTATTGCACATATTTGGTTGCCGTATATATTTCCTTTCGTCTCGGTTACCTTCCCATAAAACCTAGGGTAAGGAAGCGTATCAACCCCTGCGGTTTAGGGTAAGCTTTATTCGAAATAGAGAATCTTCAATTTACAGACTCTAAAGGCAGATCATCTCATGATCTCTTTTACTATGCATAGATTCCCGAGCCCCTGTAAATGTCATCCCGATTTCTCCGATTTACAGATAACCTAATCTCTCACAGAGATTTGACGAATTCCTTCAGCTTATCACCCTAACCCTGCGTTCTTTCAGGACAAGCCCAACAGTATACCTATGAGTTTCCATGTTTCAGGCAGACGAGGTGCACGATCAAAGCATGCCTTCTAAAACACAGTCTAGGTAATAACTTCTGGTATTAGGAAAGACATACCCAAATATAAAGAGACTACTCTAATGATACTCTCTGTGAGAGTTCCTTATAGAGTCTCTTTGTGGGTCTGTTCAGTGCGAGCTATACCCTTATAGGTCCACCCACGACTTTAGCTAAGACATCTCCATATCTGTAGCATATGAGGTCTATACGTTGTATCCATATACAAGTAGATAAGTCGTGTCAGTCTTACCCGAGATTACTGACCCCATTCTCAGTATCTCTAGACTAGGAACATAAAATTAGGAATAAACATCTGGTATTCTTGAATCCTCATGATTGTGATCTCATCACATATACTCAAGAGATACCTATTTTATTCCACGGGGTTTATCAAGTTATTCATAATATATTAACATTAATATCGAGACAGAATTATGAAACAAGATAAAGAGTGCTTTTATTTATTTGCGACAATATTAAAAAGGTCTACATCTATGTCCTTATTTAATCATAAGATTGTCTCTAGGACACCCAAATACTAACAAGCTCCCACTTGGCCTAGAGCCAATCAGACCTAAGTCATATACCCAAAGCCTCATAATGACTATCATGTTTTCTCTGAGAAACAACCTTTGTAAGAGAATCGGCCAGGTTATCATCTGTGGGAACATAATCCATCTTTACATCCATTCTATCAATCATTTCTCTAATCAGGTGATATCTGCGAAGCACGTGCTTAGATCTTTGATGAGACCTAGGTTCCTTTGACTGCACAATGGCTCCAGTGTTGTCGCATAGCAACTGTATGGGCTCATCCACGCTTGGAACCACCTTAAGTTCAGATATGAACTTCTTGATCCACACGGCCTCCTTAGCCGCTTCTGAAGCAGCTATATATTCAGCTTCTGTCGTTGAATCTGCTGTTGTCTCATACTTGGAACTCTTCCAAGATACTGCCCCACCATTTAAGGTGAATACGAACCCTGACTGTGACTTGCAGTCATCTTTGTCACTCTGAAAGCTGGCATCAGTGAACCCTTTCACTGTAAGCTCATTAACTCCCACCATAGACCAAAAACGTATCCTTAGTTCTTCTCAAGTATTTAAGGATGGTCTTGACTACCGTCCAGTGACCCTCTCCAGGGTCAGACTGGTATCTTCTCGTAATGCTTAAAGCATATGAGACATCTGGTCTCGTACATATCATGGCATACATGATGGACCCAATAGCCGAAGCGTATGGAATTCCACTCATGCGATCCTTCTCAGGCTGTGACTTAGGACACATAGCCTTTGAAAGATGTATCCCATGACTGACTGGTAGAAAACCCCTTTTCGACCCTTCCATGCTAAACCTTTTTAGCATCTTGTCAATATACGTGGATTGAGATAAACCCAGCAGCCTGTTTGATCTATCTCTATAGATCTTTATATCAAGTATAAAGGCCGCCTCTCCCAAATCCTTCATGGTGAAGCTTTCTGAAAGCCATTCTTTCGTTGTTTGTAATATGGGGATGTCATTTCCTATAAGCAATATGTCATCTACATAAAGCACTAGGAAGACAACATTACTCCCACTAACCTTCCTATAAACACAAGGTTCATCCTCGTTCTTGATGAAACCGTTACTCCTAACGACCTCATCAAAACGAATATTCCAACTCCTTGATGCTTGCTTTAGCCCATATATCGACCTTTGAAGTTTGCATACCATATGCTCCTGATCTTTGATTACAAAGCCTTCAGGTTGTGTCATGTACACTTCCTCCTTCAAGAACCCATTCAAGAAGGCGGTCTTGACATCCATTTGCCAAATTTCGTAGTCGTGATATGCTGCTATCGCAAGCATGATCCTTACAGATTTGATCATGGAAACTGGTGAGAAAGTTTCATCATAGTCAACTCCTTGTCTTTGACGATATCCTTTTGCCACCAACTTAGCTTTGTAAGTTTGAACGTTGCCATTTGCATCAGTATTTCTTTTAAAGACCCATTTGTTACCGATAGGAACTATTCCTTGCAGTTTAGGAACCAAGGTCCATACCTTGTTCTGATACATCGAATCCATTTCAGATTCCATGGCTTCAAGCCAACAAGAAGAGTCAACATCCTTGACTGCCTCCTCGTAGTTACTCGGTTCATTATCCTCAACGGTTTGTTGATTCTCAATCACAAATCCATACCTCTCAGGTGGATGGATGACCCTCGTAGACCTACGGGGTTGTGTGTTTACTTCTCCATCGGAGAACGTCGCCTGCTGAGCAGACTTGGGTTCCTCAATCTGTTCATGTGGTTCTTGAACTTCTTCAAGATCAATATTACTCCCACTGGCTCCTTGAGAGATCAAATCCTTCTCAAGGAACTCAGCATTCTTGGATACAAACACTTTGTGTTCATCCATAGAGTAAAAGTAGTATCCTTTAGTACCTTTAGGATACCCCAGAAAAAGACATTTAGTACTCTTAGCACAAAGCTTGTCTGATGCCAATGTCTTGACATAAGCTGGCGATCCCCAAACCTTGAGATATCTCAAGTTGGGTCTCTTACCACCCTAGCCCTGTGTTCTTTCAGGACAAGCCCAACAGTATACCTATGAGTCTCCATGTTTCAGGCAGACGAGGTGCACAATCAAAGCATGCCTTCTAGAACACAGTCTAGGTAATAACTTCTGGTCTTAGGAAAGACATACCCAAATATAAAGAGACTACTCTAATGATACTCTCTGTGAGAGTTCCTCACAGAGTCTCTTTGTGGGTCTGTTCAGTGCGAGCTATACCCTTATAGGTCCACCCGCGACTTTAGCTAAGACATCTCCATATCTGTAGCACATGAGGTCTATACCTTGTATCCATATACAAGTAGATAAGTCGTGCTAGTCTTACCCGAGATTACTGACCCCATTCTCAGTATCTCTAGACTAGGAACATAAAATTAGGAATAAACATCCGGTATTCTTGAATCCTCATGATTGTGATCTCATCACAGATACTCAAGAGATACCTATTTTATTCCACGGGGTTTATCAAGTTATTCATAATATATTAACATTAATATCGAGACAGAATTATGAAACAAGATAAAGAGTGCTTTTATTTATTTGCGACAATATTAAAAAGGTCTACATCTATGTCCTTATTTAATCATAAGATTGTCTCTAGGACACCCAAATACTAACACAGTGCGTATATAACGCCATCATTATGCTCATAGCACCTTCGTGCGCGTACTAACATTTCATAGTGCGTAAATAACACCATCATTACGCTCATAGCACTGTCGTGCGCGTACATACACAGTGGATATTCCATAATGGCTCCCTCAAAGGTGAAATCCAACAGTGGCCTATGCAGACGGAAGCCAAGTGTCCCATACCCTGGTACCGAAGGGATGCCTATATGATGCGTGCTCATACACATGGTCCTGTATATCACTATTCTAAATTTCAAGGCTAACATGAGTCATGTGCATGCATGCAATGCTATGCTGTCACACACAAAACAGAAAAGAGGATGCGGTATGATGTAAAGTGCATGCTTATATCATCATTATCATAACATATACTTCATGTACTTTTGATACCATACTGCCACGCCATCATTTATTTTCATAACAGAGTTACCATCATAACATTTCCATAGGCAGAATACTTTCATCATAAATAGCAGGATAATCATTAGGCACATGTGAGCAACAATTCACAACTTCATACACTAGTTAATAGTCACATTAGGTAATACCACCAAACACATACCTTGTGAGTCCAAGCATTATTCAGACAGCCAAATATCAATCAAACAATCCAATGGGCTAGGATCTTGCGCACCTAATCAAATAGATATATATATCCAATCAGAATTTATTTCATGACACCATATACATCACATAGAGTTCCCCGAGGTTTAGAAGTCTTTGCACCTAATTAAATCAATTACCAAAACAGAATTTCGTTTTATTATTTACTATATAACAAATGTAATTTCCACGCTGCCAATTCCTAAAGTTCTAACTGAAATGCCAAGCTTCGAATACTAAATTAATTCCTTACTTGCTTGCTTTAATTTTTTCTCCATTGTCAATTAGTATCGTAACTTCAAATTGCTTATGCATGTACCCTGGTTTTATGACCATCTCCTAGAGGCTACTAATTTATCATGTACATCCCTTGCCTATACGGTTTTGGAGTCATTGAAGGGGCATAATTTAAGCTGTCTACACATGCTATGGTACATACAAAGCTCGGTTCCAATCGCTTATTAATTTTCTGCCTACATTTAATTTTAAGGCTAATCCCTAATGAATTCTAATCCTTCCTCTAATATAACCCTACTACTATTACTTAATCAGAGTAATTCAATGATAGTATGCTGTCTTTAACCAAATGGACACATGCAACTTAATTAATTTTTCTAATTCCAGCTACCGTCCCACCAAATTAATGGGAGCCACTTCCAAGCTCACCAATTGGATTCTCCTTGTGCTAACAAGCACCAAGTTCATGGGTTTTTCCCAATGGCAGAACACAAAGGAGAAATGGCACAACATCTTCTTCTTGAATACATAACAAAATGCCGAATTAGAGGGAGGAAAAAAAAGGGAGGACACGGTTCAGATTCCTACCTTGCATATGTTCCCAACCAGCTCCCAAAATCAGTTCGTGTGCCCCAACCATAAGAGGACAGCACCTTCACCTTTCACTGTCCAAGGATTAAAACAGAAAACACATAAGAAACAGCCCACTCATCCTTTCTCATGCCAAAATCAGAGAGCAAGTAATGTGAGAATTGCTCACTTGTTCTTGCGAAGAAAGAAGCTTGAGTCAAAACTCAAGGTTGCTGGTTTTTCTTGTCATAAGTCGGGTTGCTGCTGCATGCAGGGGAGTTCCTTTAAGAACCGAAAAGGTAACCTGCATGCAATTGAATCTTCTCATCAAATCGAAGAGGGAAGGATACACAAACGATTAGAGAAATTTCTACACCTCTTTACATGTAACTCACGGCCGAACAAGACAAGCAAGAAAATGGACTCATGGTGCGTTCTTCTTGGCTGCTTGCTGCCACTCAGCCGCACCATACAGGGAAAATGGAAACTTGAATGGTTGTTCCCCTCTTAGATAACTCGCGGCTTGAGGGGAGTAGGAGAAGAAAGGGGTCTGCGTGTTTTTTGGCTTGGTGGACGATTGAATCAAGAGAGGAGTATCAAAGGATGGGCTTAGGTGTTTGGGGTGTTCTCCCTAGGAGCTCGCGGCTTTGTACACATGGGATGACTAGTTAGTTTATCTTCCTGACCAGAATGAGTAATCAACCTGATGGTGGTCTTTTCTCCTTTGCTGTGCGTACTAGATGGAGAACAAGGTAGAGGAAAGTTGGCTCTTGCCCAATAAAATCATATGAAAGTTAAGATATCTTTTGCCCATATTGGGCTCTAGAGAGACAAGGTTGCTTTGCTATTGACCAATAGGTTTTCATGCAGGTAATTTTGGTGAGAGATTAGGTTGTACATGTGTCCTCCTTTGGCCAAGCATAAGTGAGAAATATTGGCTGACTTAAACCCTTATTTTAAAATGTTTGGCTCGTGGCCCATGAGGGAATTGGACCCATTAATTCACCTAAGCCATGTAGTCTCATGAAGCTACTATGTCTATGTGTAACTAGAGTTCTCCAAGGGATTCTTAAAAATATTCTTATGTTAATCATACTTCTTAAGGGTCACTCATCAAATTGTAATATGTTATTAATATTATTTCATGATAGGTTCACTTAGCACCTAAAATATGTACATATTAATCATAAATATATATATATATATATATATATATATATATATATATATATATATATATATGTAATTTCATATGCCCATTAGTTAATAATTAAGGTTTCTAAATAGATTATAATTGAACTTATTACTATTCCTTCCTAACTAGTGTTTCGAATTCTTAAAATACCTAAGTATTCACTCATAAGCTACACTAAAATAATTCATTCCCTATTAAATTAATTCCACTGTAAACACAAAATTTAATTCGAGTTTCAAGCATGCTACACACCCCTAGTTACAAGTTATGTTGTTTCCAAATTATTTTTTTTTTTTTTGCAGGATGTTACACCATGTACAAAAAAAAGATGTCATTATAGAATTTGTAGAATCACATGCTCAATTAGCGGATGTTTTCACCAAGCCATTGCCTAAAGATCGATACAAAAAGCTAAAAGTGGAATTAAGATTATTAAATCCTTTATCTTAATACATATGGTTTGTTAATATGTATTCAATGCTCTAATACATTATTTTCATGCTTTGATATCACATATAAGTGTTTTGATTATTACTAATTATTACTTTAATGCCCTACACCAATATTAGAATTTTTTGTTCTCCAATGGCATTCTTTTAGTTACTGGAAAATATTGTTTAATTCTTTTTTTTAGTCATTTTAATGAATACTTTATGATCTTGATGTTAAATATGAAGTTAGTTTGACTAGAGGTTGACTTTTTGCTTCTTTATGATATATATAAATGTTTTAGCAATTTTTGATGTTGCCAAAAAGGGGAGAAATTTGTTGAGATTGGAAAATGTCCTCTTTGTTTTAAAAGTGATTAAAAAAAGGGAGAAATATGATTTCCTAGAAATGTATATGATAAATCACCTATTAAAGGAGAGGGTACGTTTTTAAGGAGAGCATATTGTAAAGGGGAGCTTAATTCTGATTTCTTATGCTACTAACCTCATTTCTCAATGAAGTGTTTGTCACATCAAAAAAGGGGAGATTGTTGAACCATAGGTCACCAAGACCAAGATGCATTGTTTTGATGAATAACAAAGTACTAACTAGCTGAACGAGCTTGCACAACATGGAAGGCCGTGCAACAAGTCCCAAGTGAAGCTATATAACACCTCACATTTCTAAGTTTAAATATTAAAATATTAAATGAGAATTAAAGAGAAGGATTAGTGAAAATTCTGAAAGTAAGGCCAAAATACAAAGAAAGGGCAAAGCGACAATTAGCCAACACGCAACCCTAGGAAGATAAAAATTTAGTAGAAGGTCTCAGATGATAAAACTAACCCTAGAAATGGATTCAGAGCGAAAAATTGAGTGGTTAGGCAAGTTTCAGAAAATTCAGTGAATAGTGTTTTTACCGGATAAAAATACCGTGATACAGTTGCACCGTAAAGTGTGTTGATTGAGTTTTGAGCTCTAGGTTTTAATTATGAGTTATAAATGGTCTATAGAACTAGAAAATATGATTTCTGATAAAATTTGATGTAAGTAAGTTAGTTTGGAGAAACGTGCCAACAACGCGCGCAACAGCTTTAAACTGCAGTATTTTCGAATAACCGGAAAACTCAGGATTCATCTGATCAAGTTTAACTAAAGGACAATGGTTAATGTTCAAAATTAGAGTTTCTAAATAGCTCATGAATTTACGGACGTTTAGTGGAAATTTGGATTAGTTGTAAACCGCGTGAGGTGGCGGGAGACCCACCCCACTTATGTAGGGCATGCCACATGTGCATATCCCCATTTGTCATCATCATTTCTCTCCTCCCTCCCATTGAAACCCGCGGCCAACCCCCCTCCCCCATGGAAATACACCAAGCTTTCTTCTTCCTTACTAAATCACTCAAAACCTAACCAAATCCTTTGATTTTTGTGTTGAAATTCATTGGAAATTGCCTTCTAAAGCCATTGGTGGTACTCCTAAGCTATGAAAGCCACTAGTTTTTGAGATATCTCCCCTCCAAGGCCGCGGCTCACTTGGCCAATGGTGGAGTATATTTAGGATGAGCCTTGTGCCAAGCTTTTGAGTAAGTTTCCTTGCATTTAAATGGTTGAATTATGTGATTGGATTTATGAACCCTAAAGAGGGCTTAGTTGATTGATGTGTTTAGAGAGCTCAAATGAAAAATGTTTGTACATGAATGTGTCTTAGAATGATATGTATTAGCCATAAATGCAATAAAAATTATTGGTGAAAAATGTGGACTTTTAACTTAGAAAAATTTTAGGTTGTCATGACTTTGAATTTGGGAAATGTGTTAGGATTGGATTGTCGAGTTGTTGTATGCTTGTATGTTGATATAATGGGATTGTATGAGGTGTAGACTGGTTAAAATTAAGTAAAGATCCTTTGGAATTGCTTATGATACAATTCGCCCATTTAGGGAATTGTAGGGATTTGATGTTGTTGGCATGGCTTGGATGATGAATCATGTGTTAAACGGTAGAGTAAACACCCTTTTTAGTCCTTGTCAATATCTACGAAGTCTTTTTTAGTCCCTAGCAATAAAAAAGGACCAAATTGGTCCCTGAAATTACAAAAAAAGGGTCATGTTAGTCCTTATGTCAACTCCCAAATATGTAGAGTGGCCCTTTTCTTGTACTTTCAGGGACCAATTTGGTCCTTTTTTATTGCCAGGGCCTGAAAAGGACTTCGTAGATATTGCCAGGGACTAAAAAGGGTGTTTACTCTAAACGGTATTTAGATGGGTTGTGTGGTGGTTGGAAGGTTGGAGAATCAATGAAAAATAATAAATGGTGTTGAGAGTCATAAAGGATCCTAGAGTGAAATATTAAGCAAAGCGGCGTTTAAAAGACGTAAAGTGAAAAACGACACTTGATATGGCCTTTTAGCAACCTAAGGATGCTTAGGAAAATGAGAAAGAAAATTTAGAAAAATAAATCTCAAAATTACACTACTTTGGCCGAACTTAGAAGGGTGTAGGGGAGGTTTTTGAGGTTTTTCACGTTTTGATAGAATTGTCCTGTACTGACGATTCATACATGGTTATTGTAGGTTGCCGTACGTCGATTTGAACCTCGAACCGTGAGTCGGTGGAATGCCCTTGGTCCTGGACCAAGTGGGATTGAGGTAAGTGAATGAATCATGCTTGTATAATTGGTAATTGGCATGTGTTCGTATGAGTTTTGAGTAATTGGGAATGTCCTCTGTGTAGGCATTCTGTTTAGTAACGAGCTCGGAGAGTATACTGCTATGGAGCTAAGTGAAGAGGCTTATTAAGGTAACATCTTGGTATTGGGCTTGTTCCCCTTGTGTGTTCCACCATACCCGTTGAGGGTGATGGTAGGAAATGTATATGAGTAGTGTAGAATAACATGATCATGCATGTAGTATGTGTGTTGGTACGTAGGTACCGAGTCTCTGGCTAGTAGACAGTTTTTGCCTTCAGGCGTTTCGGACTTCCACTGGATAGGTCTCCGAGAGGGAGTTCCAATTGACCCAGGGTCGTGGTGTATGATCTGGATAGGAGCACACTAGGAAGTCTCGGATGTATGCGGATGGGAGGGGTACCTTGGTTAGTTGTTCTTGGATCACGCCTTGGATGAGACCCCTAGGCTTATATGCCAAGCCATTAGGCAGGGCGTTGCGTGGTATTGGTAGCTACCATTCCAGCTTCTTCGTATTTTGTATTCCTATATTCCCCAGTTTCTCTAAATCCCTTGCTTTATCCCGTTTTTCAAGATTTTGTTTTATATTATTTATATGCATCGAAGTGAGCCATTTGTCGAAGTTTTCTCCAGAACCTCTAGGTTACTGAGATATATTCGTATATCTTACCCCGTCTTGGAGGCTTTATTTCAGGAGGTAGTAGTGGCACAGGAGCGGCGAGTAAGAGGCCGTAGGATGAGTGTTGGAGGACATTTTTATGTTTTGCATTTTGATGGCCATTGGGCCTAGGATAAACTTAGGGCATGAACATCCTATATGTATGTAGGATGAGTTTCATGTCATATTTGTTCATGCTATTTTTGCCTAAGTCTAGGTACATGTTGTATAGGTCATTTTAAGCTTTATGTTTCAAGTTGTAATTTAAAGTTATGAATTTGTAAGTTGTAATATGTAATTGAGATGTTGTAATTGTACAATTAATACTTGATGTAATATGATGGAAGGGATTTAGGCCTATTTTAGGATTATGATTATGTGTATGTTTAGAAAATGCATGTAAATTGACATTGGTGATTGAAATAAGTCAAGGATTAATAAAGTGAGCAATATGGTATGAATTGTGTAATAACTATAAACTGAGTTGGGTTGTAAGTTCCCCAAGGCATTGTTGGTCCTTGTGTGTGCCACCCATTGGTTATTAGGTACATTTGAGGTATTAGAAAGCATTTGCAAACTTTGGGATTTTTGTAAAAACAAAGGAAACTCTGGCGAATTTTCTGTAGAATTGGCAGAATTTAGGCGAAATTAGGGAGAACATATTTCCCTCCAAAGAGGTCCGATAGGGACG